CTGCTGCAGTGAACATGGGGTGCATGTATCTTTTCAAATTGGTGCTTTTGATTTCTTTACATAAATACCCAGAAGTTGAATTGCTGGGTCATAGGTAGTTCTATTTTTAAGTTTTCAAGGAATCTGTATACTGTTTTTCATAGTGGCCACAGAGTTTATAATCCCACCAACAGCACACAGGGCTTTCTTTCTCCCACATCCTTGCCAACACTTACTCCTGGTTGTCTTTCTGATGACAATCCTTCTTTGTATATATTCTTGAGAGTAGTCCCTTGTCAGGTGGGTGCACATTCAGTATCTTCTAGGTTTTAACCTGTCTTCACATGTACCTTAAGGGTTTTTTTTCCAAGTAGGTTTAGAGAGGAATAATTTACATAAAATAAGATGCAGCTTTGTCAGGTGTACAATCCTATGCATTTTGCAAACTCATGTAGTTGTATAATTACCACCATAATCAAATACAGAAGAATATCTCCATCATTCTGAAAAGTTTTCTTGTACCCCTTTTTGGTTAATCCTCTCCTCCCAACTTCAGCCTGGGGTAACCAGTGATCTTTATTATGTTCCCTCAAGTTCGCATTTTGTAAAATGTCACATAAATTAAGTCATACAGTATGTAGCTTTTTCAGGTTCATTTCATTTACTTAACATGATACATTTGAGATGCCTCTGACTTGCTACATGTATCAGTAGATCATTTCTTTTTGGTGGTAAATAGTATTTCCTTGTGTTACTACAGTTTATTTATCAACTCACGTGTTGACAGGCCTTTGGCTCGTTTCTAGTTATTAGCAATTATGAATAAACATGGTATAAATATTCACATGTAGGCCTTTATATGGACATATATTTCATTTCCCTTGGCTAAATACCTAATAGCAGGATTACTAAGTCACCTTTTTTTTTTTTTTTTTTAGCTATTCTGATAGGTGTATAGTGATATCTCAGTGTTTGTTTCTTTTTTCCCCATTGTGGTTTTAATTTGCATTACCCTAATGGCTAATGATGTTGAACATCTTTCAAGTGCTTATGTGCCATTTGAATATCGACTTCAGTGAAATGTCTTTTGGCCATGTTCTAGTTGAATTGTGTGGATCTTCACTGCCGAGTTTTGAGAGTTATTCCTATTTCCCAGAACTGTCACACATGAGGCTTATCCCACTCTGCACCCTCCGTCACCCAGGGAGGGTTTTGATTTCGATGGAGTCCACTTTATCCATTTTTCTTTGATGGGTCATGCTTTTGGCATCAAATCCAAGAACTGCGTGCTTAGTTACTCCTGTTTTTGTTTTAGAATAATTTATATCTATTAAAACTTTCTGCTGAGATTTTGATAGAAATTGCATTCAATGAATATGTTAATTGGATAATTTGCATATTTACTATGTTGAGTCTTCCAATCCTCGAACACAATGTCTCTCCAGTTATTTAGATCTGTGATTTCTTTCATCCGTGTTGCGTAGTCTTCAGCATGCAAGTCCTGTGCATGTTTTGCTATAGTTTTTAAAACGTATCTGTGTGTGCATAGACGATCTGACATGAGTCTGGTGACAGTGGCTGGCCAGGAGAGGCGCCAAGTGGGACTGGGAGGCAGCAGACTGGTTCAGGAGGGAAATTTACACACACACACACACTTTTACTGTACTCTTTTGTGTCTTTTGAGTTTCACATCATGTGAATGATGAACTCTTCAAATAGCAATTAAAATAATTTTTAAATGCTTAAATAAGAATCCGGAGAGAGAAACAGACAGAGCTAGAATGAGTGTTTGAGTCCCCACCCCCTGTGCACACCCTGAACAATCAGGCACAAAAGCACAGGACTGGGAGAAGTTTTTTTGTGCTTCTCCAGATATACGCACTAATGTAATCAAAGGCTTCCAAGGAGAAAAAGTGTGGGAGACTTCCTAGATCAGCTTTTGTTCTGCGGCAGAGAGGAGAGCAATCTGAGCATGAGCATTTGCTGAGAAGAACTCTGTAAACACTCCCCAGGCAGACATTAAGATACATTGAACCCCAAGAGAGCAGTTGGGACCTGCTGAGCAACCCAGGCACTCCTGTCTTCAACCTGACCTCCTCTTGTCCTCTTGTCCTTGGTGAGTGCCCTCCCCTGTCTATTATTCAACTCTCCAGACCAGACCTCATTCGGGGGAACCAAGTAGTCAGCTGGCCTTCCGGAGTCTGGAGGCTATGCCTAAGGCGCCAAGCACCTGGCCCTGATCCCCACCCATCAGTGACTGGGAGCCACTCGTCCTGCAGCCTTCAGGATATCAGATATCTTTCTTCATCCCCATTTCTCCCCAGAGCATCAGGTGTCCTTCCTGGAGCCTTTCATCCCTGCTGGGTCAGGCTGTTTCCTGGGTTTGAAGTCTCACTTGTCATTTAGCCCATAAAAACACTGGTGGTGTTGGTAGTCTCACTCATCTGTAAGGGTTCTCTGTCTGTCTCTATATACGTCTATTTAGTTGTATTTTGAAATGTTTTACAAAAGAGGAAAGAATAGAACAATGAACCTGATATACCCACTACTCTCTTCAACAATTATCAGTCCAAGGCCAGTCTTGACACAGCTGGACCTCTGCCCATTCCTTCTTTTACTTTATTCACCAGTTTTCAGAATAATGAAGTATTTCCCCAACATCCCCAAAGGTGACTCGTGGGTCGGCTGGAGTTTTAGAAAGTGTTATTGGTGATTTCTGTGGTTTAAACACATTTGCTACACTTCATTCTCCTGCAGTGATAATCCTCACTGGGGCTCAGCTTGGCCGGGGAGCCCCCTCTGGGCTGGCTTCTGAGTCCTCTGGGCACGGCTCCAGCTGTCTCTGACCTTTGGTCGCTGCTCTGGTGTGATGGGACATTCTGGGCTCGCCGTGCACATGTGCCCTGTTGGACATTTCTCCAAGGAAGCTGCATTTCTTTGTGGGGGATGGTGATTAGAATTCATAATCTGATTGGTAGGGGTGTTCATTTGTACTAGAATGATCCTTGTTTCTAGGCCTCACAGTGAACAGAGCTGGGAAGTGCCTCTGTGTGTGTGTGTGTGTGTGTGTGTGTGTGTGTGTGTGTGTGTGTGTGTAAGATAAAACACACTGATACTTTCCATTCACAATCAGGGCTACAGAATTTTTGCCTGATCTCATCAATCTTACATTTGTATCCCTTTCAACAAGAAACTCTTGTTTCTCAGCAACATCAATATTACTACTCATTTGATTTATCCCAAAATCACATACAAAAGTATCATCATCACCATCCCACCACCACCATAGTATTAGCAATGGATTATTGAAAACAGTTCAGGATTGGGGGCAGTTTTTTTTACCCTTCCGGCATTCTCAAAGGCTGAGCAGTGCACTTCCTGTGTTTCCATCGCCCTCTGTGCAGTTAGTTACGCTGTTGCAGGAAAATGAAGCAACCGGACACCGAGGGTTTCTGGAGTAGGAGGTTTTATGAGGGTTTCTGGAGTACGAGGAGGTTTTATTAACGTGCACGGGCTCAGAGGAGTCAATTTCCAAATTCTGAGCCCCGAACAAAGGATTCTTGGGGTTTTTATAGTTTACAGGGTCTTCTTGTCTACGTACCAAAGTGGGATACAGAAGTGGAATGTGGAAGTTAGTTCTAGCTATGGGGCAGAAGCAGAGAACAAAGGCTAAATTCTAAGGTCAATTTTTAACAGCAGGGGTGTTAATCTCAGTCCTTGCTAATGCACTGTTGTTTACTATCCCAGACAGCGCCATCATTCTCCCTAGGGCGCCTGGGGCCTGGGCAAATAAAGGTTAAACAGAGGTTCTTCAAAGTTTCCCGTATCAACGCTGACCAATTAGACGCAGAGATGGACTCATTCATTGCATTTTGTGTTTACTTTAGAGATTTCTTTAAAAAATATTGTGTTCTACAACTTTGTCAGATACATGTTCCAAAGCAAATCCACAAAATAAAGTGTATTCAAAGTCCAGCTTCTCTCCCTGTCCTTTCTACCTTATTCCTCCCCCTCCCTGTAGGCCTTTGAAATTTATTTAATGTTTTATCTTTTATTGTATTTTAAAAGAATATAAGCAAATACATATGTATATTTTGTTCCTCCCTTTTTCTTAAATAAATGGCAGTATATTAAACACATTTTTTCCTCTTTTTTCAATGTGATAACAACCCCGAAGATTGCAACATAGCCACACAGGGCGTGCGTGCTTCAGACAGAGTGCTAGGGCCGGGCGGGCTGTCTGGTTCACAGAGGAAGCACATACTTATTTTGATGGATGATGCCACAGTCCCCTCTACGAACACAGATTTTACCATTTCCTGCAGATACATTTTAATTTTAAAGCAAATAATTAAATGAGCTATGTCATCTATACTGTAAAAGTTTAAATGATTGCCCAGAAGGACTGGAGCTGGGACTCGAACCTGCAACGTCCTCACTAAAGGCCCTGTGGTCTGACCCACCCTCCCGTGCCCTCTTCCCATTTGCAGACACAGAACCTGAGACGCAGGTGGGGAAGCATCCACCCTGCCTGACACAATAAGCCAGAACGCCAAATCCACGTCCCCTGACACTAAAATGGGGTCTCCTTTCAAAGTGTTACAGATTTATTTATGGTGAACTCAGTTTGATGATCTGTAGATGGGGAGGAAAAGCCTAATAGTTCTCCTAAGTAAGTTAAGAAAATTAATGTGGTAATTAGGAGTAAATTGTCCCTTGGGTGTAGGAGTCTTTGAGATATGCTTTAACTCCTTTAGGCAACTAGGGACTCCGCAGTTAGAGTATGGTGTCGGGGCACCAGTAATGAGCGTGTGGATGAGAGAGATGACCCCCCGCCCCAAAGTCTACCATGTTTAGGCACCTTGCAGACTCCGCCCCGTTGCAGCAGAGTGCTCTGAGCTGCCTTGAACAAAGATGCAGCTATGCTATGCAGGATCTGCCCAGTAAGTGTGGGCCCAGATGTCATTTCCCAGTGAATGGACAAGCAGCAAACCACAAAGCCTGTTCTCTTTCTTTCCTAGAGTGACCCTGGGGTCTTCTTTGTGCTTGCTTTGTGACGTTGATTGACATATGTGCACTTCGGGACACCGGAGGTGTCCTGCCCGCTGCAGACCGAGAGGGAGCCTCCCCTGGTGTCGCGAGCAGGAGGCTGCATGAGGCAGAGACGGTGAGTGGGGCTGGGCCCCGGGGGCCGGCCCCTCGGGGGTGAGGGCAGGGGAAGTCCTTGACTCTCACTCCACGGATGAGAGGAGGTTCTTGGCCTGGACCCCAGAATCTTCTGGGGTGAAAGTTCTTTCTCTCCAGAGTCAGCCACGGAGCAGGCCCTCCTTTGCAAGGAGGCTGGCGCTGGGAGAGCCTTTGCCCCTTTTTCCCCTGCAAATGCCGTCAGCTGGCTGACCCTTGCCCCTGTCACGATGGTTCACCTTAGTGGAGAACTCGGGAAGCAGCTTTGTTTGTAACCAGCATCCCCCCTTAGCCTGGCCTCCATGACCAGAGTGGAGCCTCATGAGTGATGGTCCTGGCCTCCCGGGGGCAGTCTGAGGACCCCTCCTCCAGGCGGGGCTGCGGGCCCTGGCAGATGGACGGCTGTCGGGAGGAGTAAGAGGCTGAGGTGACATCACTGAAGCCACACCCCATGTCCAGGGTTTGCATTGTTCCATCTGGGTTAGAATTTCCTGCTGCTCCCAGCATCTCCTGTTTTAATGTCAAGCCAGGGGAGGATGTGCAAGAAGTGAGGGCTACTGTTTTAACCCAGAAGGAACTGACAGTGGACCCCACACTCCCAGCCTGGAGGCTGCAGGTGGGGAGGGGGGCCTTCCTGAGCGCCTGAACAGAGAAGGGCGTCCCTGTTCTCGACTTTGGGACTCATTGCCATTTGTCTTTCTCACCCCAGCGCCCCTTCCAGATGTCTCCTTTTCTCCCAGAGAGAAATTTCTAATCGTTCCCAGGCCTGAGATTTCTGGTTTGTACAATGGAGTTAATAATGAACATCTTGTTGTAAAGATTAAATTAAAGTTTAAACATATAAAGAGCCTCGCAGTGCCTAGCATATAGCAGGTGTTCAGTAAATGAAAGTTATTATTATTTATGGTACCAATAGCAGCTCAGGTGTACTTGTCTATGAAGGCGGTTTCTGTGAGGGCCCATTAGGGCCACAGCATGCTTAGAACAGGCAGTGGGGACCACCTGGGAACCCCATCTGACCACACCGCTTTTTTTTTTTCCCACGAGCCTGGAGCTTGCATATACCGGCTGGCAGTGGTGGGGAGGGGCCCCGTCCTTTTGTTACAGTGTATTTGGAGGACCCTGGCTACAAAAGTGGCACACCAGGTTAACGAACATGTAAAGACATGCAGAACGCTGTGGGAACAGACCCCCTGTTTGTGACAGAGCTGAGAGTCAGTCCAGCTTTGTGTCACTGTGTCCCCTCTCAGCACTTTTTCATGTGCCCTCCCTGCTGCCTATCCCTGTTTCCCCCAAACCGTCTCCACAGCCCCCCGTGGGCACAAACACTTTGGTTGCCTAAGGAACCCTGGAGACGCTCCCTCCACAGCACACCTGCGGGCACCTGGAGTCACGCAAGCGGTGTCCCACCTGACGCAGAGCCAACTCGGGGCGTGTTAAGCTAATCAGCAAACCCCAGTATCGGTCCAGAGCCTCAGCTTTGTCGCATATCTGTTACATTGTGTCACTTTGCTTTCCTGACCCTGTTGTGCCGTGAGTGAGGTCCGTGCCATCATTCCTGCTGGACTGGTGAGTGAACTGAGGCCCCAAAAGTTATTTCTCCAAGGTTCACAGAATTAACTAGCAACAGAGGCCGCACTAGACTCAGACACGTGAGTGGTGGGCTGTTTTCCCTGCTGTGACGTCACTGCCTCCGTGGGGCGAAGGCACCCACACATTGCAAGGGGCGGAGGACTCGCACGGACACAGCTGAACCTTTAAAAAGGAGCACAGAGAATGCCCAAGAGCAGGGACCCACGGCTTTTGAGGGAACAATAAGTTTTGAGAGAAGGGGAGCTGATCCAGGTTCTTTGGAGGATCATAATCATTATTATAATAATCAACATTCTGGCTGTGCCCCCCGCACTGGGCCACGTGCGCTGTAGTCAACACACACCTTCCCTTTAGTCCTCCTCACAGCAACCCAGTGAAAGAGGGCCCATCATTGCCCACGTTTTCCTGGAGACAGAAATACAGAAGGACTGGGAACGTGCTCTAAACTCCAGTGCAGCACCTGCATCCAAGTCCCACAGCCCTGCCCTGGGGGCTGCGCAGCTGACCATCAGGGTTCCCGTGGCAGTGTATTTTCAAGTGGCTTGTTTCAAGTCCCCCAGGAAACCCTGCATAACTTTCTGAGCGAGCCTCTAACAGCTTCCAGGTGGGAATCCCATTTTGCCCCTCCATTTAGGAAGCCTCATAAAAGCAAGTCCTGTGTTCAGTGGTCCTCCTTCCCTCTGGCTCTTGTCCTTTTGTGTGAGGCCACTGCCATCTGGAGCTGCCCCAGGCATCTGCTCCAGGGCACACTCCTCCACCCCCACCCCCAGCTCCAGAGAAGCACCTTCCTGCACTCACAGCAATTTCTCCCCTTCCCCTGTCCCACCCCCAGTGCTTCGACACCTGGTCCTCACCCAGTGAGCGGACACCTGCCCTCTGGCATATTGGGAGCAGTCTGCAGACCAGCTTCCCCGGGCCTTCAATTTCCCGAGTGGATCCATTTGGTTAATTGCACTCACACTCCTCAGCCCCCCTGCCTGCTGGAGAGAATATGGGGCTCTCTCCTTCAGAAACATTACAACAGGCCATCGCAGGCAGCATGGGCTCAGGACACACAGCCCGGGGGTGGTTGGGAGCCAGCCCATGGAGCTACATTAGGAATGGTCTGTATTGCTTCCCACCCCCTCTCCATGGCCAATTCCAGGCCCCCCGAGGCAGCACCTATGCTTGGCCCCTTTCTCCTGGGAGTGCTGAGATCTGCAGGGCTAGGTGAGGGGGTGTGGGTGGCAGCCGTGAAATCTGTTCCCCTTCGTAGCTGGTGTTATCTCATTTCTGCTGAAGTGATTCTCTGATCTCAGCCTTTCCTGTTGCCTGATAAACCCACCTTCTTACTGGAGGCTGGGCTGCCGGGTTTGGGACGGCATGACACTACTCAGAGTTTCACTTTCTCATGAGAGGACCTCGGACCTTAGCAAAGGGAGGTCCTCCTGCGTGCTTACTCAGGGCATACGTCACAAAGCTGTCCTCCGCACCATTGGAGCCAACAGTGTCTGGTGCAGGTATCGGAGCTGCATGCACTTTGTACCAGACTCCTAGACAAGTGGTGCATCTTAAAATGCAGGAAACAGCCTTCCCCGGTCTGTCCCGCCTCCCCTCTTCTAGGCTTCTGTGTTTTCACGTGTCCTCCAGCCTCCAGCAGCCTGCCAGGGTGGCAGTTGTGTGCAGACTGATGTCTGTGCTGGATGGAAGTGCAGAGGGAGGAGAGGAGGAGCAGGTGCTGCTCCCGCCTGCTGTCTTTGTCCCTTCCTCCCTGGGCCCCCTTATCATGTCAGAAAGGAATTTAAAAATGCAACCGGGGATTTGCTATCCTGGAACTATCAGCAACTAAACCAATATTGCCAGCAGGATAGAAGTCACCTCTGAAGAACTGACCCAGCTACCCCTCTGGGGCCTGTTCCACCCAAGTGCGTTTGATGTCATAGGTCATGGGGCATTGGTGGAAGAGGCTGGCAGGAAGAAGGCGTGAGGATCTTCAGGAGTGTAAAGGGCTTTGGTTAAGGAGACACGCTGGCAGAAGCAGGGGAAAGGGCAGCCCACAGCTGCTTTGGCTGGTCCGGGATCTTTCAGGAGCCTCCCTTTCTCTCTGGTGCCTCTGCAGATAACCGTACATTGGCTCTAAGAGTAAATAATAACTCCTGGATCACAGAGCCAGCACGTGGTTATTTGCACAGACATTGTGTACTTTGTAGATCTACAGAGTAGTTTTATAGATTTGAAAGCCAAGCTTGTCCAAAGCCATTAGCAAAGCAGTATAGCAGCTGCAACCTGGGAGGAAAGGAGAAGGGACCAGTGGTTTCTGAATGCCAAGTTCCTGTCAGGTCTTGGGTTAGATGATTTTGTGTATATATATATTAACATAAATATAGAAATATATTTCTATAGGTTATATACTAACATATGATGTTAATATGTTGGTATGTGTTATATGTTAACATAAATATAGAAATACACTTATGTACATACATATATGCACACACCCATTCACTAAGACAAATTAACTAAAAAAGTGAAATGAATTAACACATTTAATTTGTTTAATTAATAATCATCACAACCTTATAATAAGTATCTATTCCACTCAGAGACCAGAAAACCGAGGCTCTAAGAGAGTAAAAGATTGCTGAAGACCAAACGGCAGGGAAGTAGCTGAGGCAGGATTGAAACTCAGGTGTGTGGCTCTGTGTCCGTGCCCAGGACGCGTTCCGGAAGGGCTGTGAGTCACTTCCTCTTGAAGCTCCATCTCCGAATCCACATCGGTGTGTCTCCCCTGGCCTGGCAGTTTCTTAGCTAATTTTTTGTTCTCGTCTATTAAGCCCAGTCATGCCCTGCTTTGTGGTGGCACTTGCTCCCATGAAGGACACAGAAAAAAGATAGAAGACACCCACTTTCAGGAAGCTCATAGTCTGGTTAAGGGGTGATGGTCATCTCTCTCTCTCTCTCCCACCCCAAGTTCTCCTGTAGTCTTGCCCCTTATTTTTTTCTTGTGTTAGCTCAGTGTATGGTTTTCAAATGGCTTTACAACCTTACTCTGTTGAAACCAGGCCGGGAACCCCACAAATAGAGGTTGGAGTAAGCAGCTTAACACGAGTGACATTGTGAGCAGATGGACAGTAACCTGGAGCCTGGGAACCCACTGGGCAGTGCCCGGGGCCAGGAAGCTGCGTCTGAGAAGAAGGTGGTGGGGATTTGCACCCGTGTCTTCAGGAAAGATGCCAAGGGACAGAGGTGGTGCTTTCAGACTGTTCTTTCTGCAGCATTCTGAAATGTGCGGTTTCTCGCTTCCTGGAGGTGGTGTGCAAGAACTTAGCCCTAGGTCTTTTTTTAAATCAATAGTTAATATATTAAAGTTATAAGCCCCAAAACATTTTCATTCCAAGTGACAGATTTTTA